TTATAGATACTGCTTTTGGCACGTTGCGTTGGTTATATTTATAGGCATGTGGAGTGTTTTTCAAAATTTCAGTATTACGAAACAATACTGACGCTAACACAAGCATTTACGAACACACACACATTGTTGATTCTTACTCTCAAGAATCTTCTACAACTTTGGAGAATAGGCGGGAATTTCGCAATACATATTTAACAGTATAAGTTATGTATGTTTCTAAATATAAATTTAATCTAAACAAACGTAGATATTAAAATAAATATATAATAACAAATCCGTCACAGTGCCCACTGACTAGCTAAGTTTGTAACCTTTACCTCCTCCTTCAGAGTGAATGAAAGAGACCTTTAATCCCAGGAGCATGTCCAGTCTGTAGTTACTACTGGTTCCTTCTTCTAATAACCTTCTGTTACAGGTTCAGAACAAAACTAAGCACTCTGACCTTGCTTAGTTATGACTATGCCTGAGAATCTGCATGCCTCCACAGGTTCTGATGCTACTGTCTGGCTCTCATAAAATATATAAATATTATTAATGGGTGTCCAGGATGAATAGGTATCCTGCTGTGAAAAATTCCTTTTTGTGTGACCTGATTTACTTCACTCTTTTCTTCCATTAATTCACTCCACGACTTTTAAGGTTCTGGATTTTAGTCAAACTCTGCTAGTTCACTTAATATGTTTTGTGGGCTAGTTTGTTAACTTCTTCCCTAAGAGACTTGTTACTCTTTGGGAACCAATGTTCTTTATGTCACTCTAATTCCCTCTTTAATTCAATATACGTATTCTGGATTTTAGTATTTCAGAGGTAAGTTTATCTTGTGTGAATTTTACATTTTTAGAATTGAAATTAAATTAAAACTGGAATTGAATACATTTCCTCCCACTTCCTCAAAAGTGGGAAGAATGTCTTCACAGCTGCAAACAAAGGAATATGGTTTATAATGGGAAATGACTTGTGTTCTACAGATGCATGTAAGGTAAGTTACATAAAAGAGTGGAGAATTCTGGAAAAGTTGATATATATTTTGCATTGCTTCAAGGACATTCATATTCTGAAGTCTAATGGTTGTTGACAGCATTAAAGTAACTCAATAACAAAAAGCTTTTAGTGTTTTGGAGGTAAGTACCTGTTTGAAATTCATCTTAATTCTAAACATGTAAAATTTTATGTAACTAGAGAAACCTCTATAAAACTTAACATCCACACTCGTGGAAAATACTAACGTAAATGTATGGACATTCCCTACCCCTATTGAAAATGTTTGACTTACAAGGATATATGAATGTTTCCCATCATTGAAAACTTTAAAATGAATGTTATATTTTTGTTTTACTCTTCTCTACCTTTTTGTATTTATGTTACTGGAGTGATGCAACTTTCATAAGTAGATAAATTATTTTTCAGTATTGAGTAAAAGTTGTGACTGGTATATAATTTATAAGAGTTTCAATCATGTTAATGAAATTAATATCAGCTGCATCATATTTTGAAAATTTGTGCCACCATGTACAAAAAAACTTATGAAAGATTAGTTTAACATAGTTTGATTTGAATATTAAGCCTTGTTACTAGGAGTTGTATTCCATACACATTAGCTAGATGTCTTTGCTAATCACTGCAGTATTCCCTATAACTTTATTTATACAAGTGGTTGTTTGAAGTATAAATTCCTCTAAATGCTAATAAGCTTGAAATCTGAATTGAATCGGTCTTTCAAAAAATAAATGAATTATATTACACGTAAAAATTAGTTTTAATACTAATACTAAGAATAAAATAAAAAGTTGTTAAACAGGTATTTTTTATAACAGGTTAGGTACCCTGATAGGATAACCCTCATCAGAGGCAACCATGAAAGTCGACAGATTACCCAGGTGTATGGGTTTTACGACGAGTGTTTACGGAAGTATGGGTCTATCACAGTTTGGAGATACTGCACTGAAATATTTGATTACTTGAGTCTGTCTGCTATCATCGATGGGAAAGTGAGATTTTAAGATTTGATTCATATTCATATGTTATTAAACTGTATGCAACATATAGCCAACTAAAGCCATCTGACCAATATTTGTTTTTGTTTTTTCTTTATTAATCATTGCCTTACAAGCATTTGTACAATGATTTTGTTTATGAATTTATTTTATAAATATTCTAACTTTTTTCTCACATAAAATTATAAAAACTGATCATCTCATGTGATGATACTTATGTAAATATTCTGTTATACCCAGAACTGCACTGTAATTCATAACCCTGTAGTGATAACAAGCAGCCGAGTGTTAGTTTTCTTGAAACATTCATATATTCCCTTTTTCACAAAAATTATAGACTAACTTATAAAATACTTGACTTACCATTTTTTTCTAGCTTGTGAAGGTTATTTTAGTACAGCTTATTTGAAGCAGTTGTGGAAATGGTTTACAAGTTTTCAAAACACAGCAACAAATTTTATTTTCTTAGATTTCAAAAGTATTTTTAGTTCTCTTGGGAAATTTTGATTTATGGTCACATTATTCCAATTACAGATATTCTGTGTTCATGGAGGTCTGTCCCCTTCAATTACCACTTTGGATCAGATTCGAACAATAGATCGAAAACAAGAAGTACCACATGATGGCCCCATGTGTGACCTCCTGTGGTCTGACCCTGAAGGTGAGAAATTATTTAATGATGTTTTCCCATTTAAGCCTATAATATGGGTGAAACTTGAATGTTATACCGTGTTTAAGGCTTTTCTTGAAGAACACATAAACCTGTTTAATGATTCTGGTTTTATGATACACTAGATTCATTTCTTTAAAATGTTGTAAGTCTATGATACTATATGTTTATTATTTGTTCATTTTATCATAATCACAAGTTCAACTATTGACAAGGATAAAAAAAAACTTTTGAAGTTGTTTCCAAATAAGAAAATGTTTTTTACATTTCTTCTTTGAATAATTTAATACTGTTGTATGGTAAAAAAATTGTTTTGAATTTACACTAATTGTTGCAATAAACGTGATCAAAAAATAAACTTCACCTTTGCTTACAATCTTTGAGAACAGGTTGATATGAAAAAGTTCCATTTTTGTGAGCACACAGTTTATGCAGTTATTAACAGGTTGTTTATCACTCATTACATGTACTTTTATACTGCAATTACACTAATTGTGATTTTGAAGTAGAGATGATGCTCAGGTAGAACAATAACAATAAAATTAACTGTTGAAACCAGGGACTATTTATTCCGAAACACATTTGCCTCCTGTCACACTGTAGCTTTATCCTGATGAAAGGTTCTCTTCTTTGCCCATCTAAGCATTGGTATGAATTCTACCTTGCTTTCTCCAGTCTATACCCAACTATATTGCCCCTAGTGATTTTAATCTTGTGACTCTCTCCACCTATGTCAGTGCAACCTTTATACCCGATCTTGATATAAGATTCCCATTATTCTTTCTTATTGACTGTTTCTCAAAGGCAAAAAATTATGAAGATGGTCTTACATATTTACTGTGGGTTTCTCTTCGGCACTATTACTATATTTTCAACATTTTCTTTTGAATTATTTTAGATCTTTTTCATGTAGCCTGAGTTTATTGTTTATTTCCTTGATTTATGATAAAAAAAAATTTGGGGGGAGTCGTTTTCTGAATATGAATACTCACATGCATGTTTCAGATATGGAGTCAGTCGCCTAATGCCCCTTCTCAACCACCTCACAAGTCTTGCATAAAGAGGTAGAGTCTTACATGTGGTCTGTTGCTTTTTCTCTTGTTGGCTCTGAGGTTGAGTTGGTGGGAAATCAAGGCTGGATTAGAGTGAATTTTAACTCTACTTTTTCAGCACCTTCCTTTGCTCAGACAGCTACTCCTGAACCTCAGACAAACATTCTGCCTTCTGCACCCTTTTTGCTATGTTTGTAATGTTTTGAGTATTTCTCTTGTGGCTTATGAATCTTCACCCTCTTTATTGGTAGAAACTAGTTCATCTGATTACCTGGTCCTTCTACCTTTGCCAGATATTGCTGTGCATGCAAGGAGATTTGCAGATGAATTGAGGGATCGTGCTGCCATGCCTTGTCCTCCTCGTTTATTGGATCAGCATGCCTTGGCTTTCCATTGCATGGAGAACCCTTATTTGGACTCTCAGAGGTTAGACCCTCCACTTCCTATTTGGGGCTCTAGACAAGATCCACTGTTCATCTTAATCTCAGTTTTTCCAGAATTTGTCTGTCACTTACAACAGTTTTGCATTTTTTATCATATTTACAATGTTGTCCAAGGATAATCATAGATCCCCTGTTCAAATTGGACATTTTTCATCCAGCAGTCAGCATTCTTTGACTTCATGCCTGGCTTTTATGCAGCCATTACACGACACCATGGATTGACATCTTGAGTGGCGACTTTAATAAAAAGTTCCATTCAACATTCTTCTTTAGAAGTTTATCAAAGGAAATGGTTTACTTATTGTCAATGGTCTCTCAGACACTTCTTGTGACACTGTACCATATGTCTCATAATTTTTAATATGGTTGTTTGACAAAGGTTTGGCGCCTTTGTCTATTGCCTTTTATAAGGCTGCCATATCGGTTATTTTTTTGTTCTTCTAAGGGAAAAGTTTTGCATCCCCAGTTTTGTGATTACTTTTAAAGTCATTTCGGGTTATCTGTCATCATTACCCTATCTAGGTTCCTAAGTGTGATATCACAGTGGTTCTCCATGCATTAACACATCCATCTTTTGAACCTTTGAGGTCATTTGCATTATATTATCTTTCACTTATAACATATTTGCTTCAGTTATTGACCAGAGGGCATCAATATTCAGATGTGTTTGCGCTTCATGTTCACAGGAGACTGTACCACTACAACTATGTTCTGTTGTATCCAGGCAGGTCCTTTTTACCTAAAAATGCAGCAGCTAGGGAAGGAGATAAGGCTTACTCTCCTATTCATCTTCCCTCCATTTGGATCTGGATCGATTTTTATGCCCTGTTTGGGCTCTCTGATGATATGTGACATGCACTGAAGCATTTTGGGGCTCACGTCACTGGTTATTCATCCATTGGGATCCTTTGACCAGCTGGATTTGTCAATTGGTTCAAATAATTTACTCTAGTCTTTCATTGGAAAGCAAAGACTATTTATGGTCTCATCTCAAAATTCAACATATATCAATGTCTCTGGAAGCTCGGTTGCATTGCCCACTGGAGATAATTGTGCAGGCTAGTATGTGGACCACACCTACCACCTTTATATTGCACTATTTGCAGTATTTAGCAGATGACTTTCAGTTAACCCCCAGTGGCTATTCTACACACCCTGGCCCGATTGTGACAGAGGTAACTTCATTCCTTTTCAGGGACCTTTTCATCATTCTCACTTGGATCCTACTCACAGGTGAGTGTTGCCTGGTCTGGTATGCTTTTCCAAATCTGCACTAGCTACCAGTAGATTAATAACTAAATTTCTGGTAGCAACAAGCTCTTGAAATGGGGTGTTCCATAAGACTGCCTTGGCACTATCCATGTGTTGAAATATAATATACTATACTAGACTATCATGAGTAAATTATAAAGGGACTTTGCCCATCTCTACTAACCCCTGAATTGAACAAATCGGGTTTTTTTTTGCTTTTCAAACTAGGAAATATGGTTCACCTATTGCAATGTCTCTGGACCATCGTTCCTCAGGACTCCCCAACATGAGTCCCCTCTCTCTCTCCTAGTGGAGCAAGGGAGTCCTTACCACATGCTATACTATTGATTTGATCCAAACTTGGCATGCACCCTTCCAGCCCACTGGGAAGGGACATAGAAATGTGATCCATATTTGCCCCCCTCCCCAGGGCCTGTACGTCTTTCCTGTGCATTGAATGGAAACATCATCTAGTAATGTTATTACTTGCACATGAACATCTAAGAAACTATAACTATATAATATTTTGAATGCCTTTTTTACATCATTTACAACATATTACTCTGCTAGCTTATCTGTTCAGTACTCACCCCCTCCCCCCCATTGCAAACAAACCTTTCTAAAATGACTTCATCTAATAGTGTGTCTCTATATTAGCGTAAGCACTTGAGCTAAGAAATAAAAATGATCTTCATAGCACACTGTAACAGTGTACTGGTTTAATGAAAGGCATTTTTGTGAGGCTATGGAATAAAATAGAATAAAGAATGCTCATAAGTATTTCATTATGTCATCTGACCTCCACCAAGCCATCTAAAAATCTAAATCCTTTTTGTAAGTCAACAAATAATCCACAATGAATTATTTTATCTTCTGTTTTTTGTTGTAATCTTTTAAGTCTAGTGCTTCATATTTACATCCATGAATTATGTCGGCAGTGTCCAGTTCTTGAGAATGCAATATTCTCTTTATAGTTGCCCTGCATGATATTTATTATTGCTATTATTTTGGCAATATAACCAAAGATTTTTCAATTAATTTCTTTCATATTTCCTGCTTTCAGCTGTTGCTATTGGACTGCTCACTGTTTTCCTTTTGAAATTTGTCATGTTCCTCAACCTTAACTGCTCTAAGTGGAACACTAATTTGAGCAGTATGATGAGTGACATTTTCGTTTCCAAACACAGTTCATTTCTCAATTCCATGCATAATACCTCTACAGTATTATTCCTTGGTTGCAATCTCGCAGTCTTGTTATTCCAGGTTTATTCAAAAATGTAAATAAATTAATTCCACACATATGAAAATAATTAATCATGTCTCTAAGTTGAATGATGCAAGTTATACAATAACATAGATGTTTGTACTGCCATATGTTCTAGGCATGCTACAAGTACAAACATTTTACAATAGTAAAATGTTTTTTGTTATTACTACAAATGTTTTCATAAAACATGAAATGTATAATATTTGCTTACCTTTGTGTAGCATTTTAGCACAACTCTTGAAAGGTCTTTTTCATTTGATTTCTTACCCTTTTAGAAAACATTTCCATCTACTTTTAGTTTTACTCACGAATGTGCGTGCACTTTCTTGGGTGGTAACATTGTAGCAACCAAAATTGATACTAAAGTTCTGGTTGATTTCTAGCAGTTTATACCTTTATGGTTAGATTTTTAGGTAGGCATTCATCAAGTGATATTATAGTTGTACGAAAGAAGCCCAGGGGTGTTTATAATCATCTTGTAGTACCTTCATGTAGAAGGTATACACCATACAGACAATACATTTTAACAGCAAATCGTTTGGCCATAGCATAATTGTATATTTTATTTCTAGTACTTCTGAAATAGTAAAATTTCACTTGATAGTATAAGTTAATTTTAAGTTTTTTTCCATTAGAAAACTTTTCAATTTATAAAATTTTAATATAAAAATGAGGACTAACTCATTTCAAGGGGTGATACAAAAAAACTTGTACGAGTTAATATTAGTTGAGGAATTATCTCCCTGGGATATGTATTGTAGGAAGAATTATAAATGTAGTAATCTAAGGATTGTGAGGTACCACATTGGGACCTTGGTCTGATCTAACAGTATGGTATCATCATTATTCTGATTTTTGTCTTTGTCCTGTGAAAACATTATATGTCCAATCTGCTCTCCTACCCAAATAGTTGGTTATGGTCAACAATGAATACAGAAAATTGTGTAATTTTAAGAACCCATAATGATAGTGAATAAAGATCTTTATTTGTTCACGTGTTTTTTGTTTTTTCTTTTGCTGTCCACTTTTTATTTTATTCGCTACATAACATTTCTGAAACATTGGCTGTTTTGTGGATACTTGTAACTTTTTATTATACATAGTGTAATTGAATAACACATTGACATTCTTGTACATTGGGTGTACAAAGATCATACACTTGTGCAGATAAAAAAAAAAAAAATACATTATAATGATTGTTCAATTGAGCTTACACTTGCTAAGACATCATTCTAATTTATTACCACATCAGGTTGTGGGATGTAATTCCCACCTTCCTCTCCCCATTACCCCCTCCTTTTGCTTCACACTTTCCTTCCCTAAAGAAGGATACCCTCCCTCCTCCCTTTTGCATGGAATCTGCCCAATCTGTCTCCTATTGGGCTGGGTATTCCACTAGTGTGAAATTATTCTTGTCACATTCTTTTGTTGCTGGTCCTTCTGCCACTCTTTTCCTCCAAGCAGTAAGTCTGTGCACCACCTTTCTGCCTATCTTGCCCAACTGTTTGTCATTGTATTCTTGATCTCAACCTTTCCTGTTTTTTGGATGGCCTTTCTCCTTTCCAAGTACCCAGTAGTGTTTCTTCCCTTGTTCTCTACATTATATTCCACTTTTTCATTCTCCTCAGTCCTCCTCACCCAACTCCCTTGCCTGATTGAGACCTGAGCATAGTTTTGCACAGTCTTTTATACCATCATGATGTCATGATTTGTTTCCACCTACTTCTACCCTGTGATTACTGTTATTCTAATGTTTTTCCTATAGATGCTTCTCACAGCCTCTTCCATCACATTTATCTTTCCTCTTCTTGGACTGATCTTTTTTTTTTCTTGGACTTTGACCACTCAGAAGATACACATACTTCTATCTCCTTTCCTTCTGTTTCTTGTCTATTTTACCATTTGTACTTGGCTTGGTTCCTGTGCCCTGTTTAGTGTGCCTTATTATGGACATCTCCCTTTAAAGGTACCCAGTTTCATCTGTCCCTTCCCTGGGACCCTTCTCCTTTTCCCCTTACAGGATAGATCCATTGACTCCTGTATTAACGTGTTTGTCTCTGAATGTGGATGCTTTCAGACTATTTCATCTTTCTTTGCATTTGATTCATCACCTTTTTTCATTCTTATACACCTCATCTTTGCTGGCTCTTGAACAGGTGCTTGGTCTCTTTCTATACATTCATCATCTTCTCTACATCCTTTGGCTGTTTTCTCTCCTGATGGCTTTCAGCTACCACAGGTCACCACTCAACCACACACTATCTCTGAGAGGTGGAGGGCTTTTGTCACATGATGACATCATCATGCAGTATTAGATTAGAGTTGTGTCAAGGTTAGTGCCATGGAAATCTCTTTGGCAGATGTGCTTTGGAAGATAGCTAAATTGTGTGTATAGGTAACTATCAGAAATAAACTTCAGGTGAGGAAAATTTTAACTTTCATCAAACCAATACACTGTTAAAATGTGATTTGAATATTATTTTTGTTTCTCTGTTCTAGTGCTTTCTCTAACATAGACACACATTGCTGTGTCAAGCCTTTTTTTTTTTTGAAAAAGTTTGTTTGCAATGAGGCAAGATAGTCTGACATAAGAAAGTGTAAAGGGATGAAACTGAAGATGGAAAAAGAAATAAGTAGTGAATTGATGTGCCAGAGGTGTAGGATGTTGTAAATCTAGGTTAAATCTTTAGATGCTCATTCACAAATATATTTTATTATTAAAATGCATAACTAACTTCTAATTTTGTATATTAAACCCTCATACAGAAGACAGCAGAGATATTTTCAGTTGGGTCATTCACCATGATTCATTTTGTCTAATTAGAGTAATAAATACCAAGGTTATTCAATCAAAGTGCTTGTACTTTCAGCTTAGCTTACATTAACTAATTGTCCTGATTTTTGCAATATTAAATGATTCAGAATAGTTATCTTGGTTGTTTCCCTAATACTGTTTTTTTTTTTTTATGTTCAATGTATCTGAATATAAAATAAATGAGTTTTTAAGTTAAGCAGACACATTTTTAAATGCATTTTTGATGTTTATGTGGTAAACGTTTATAAATCATTTATAATGTTTATAATTGTGTGCTTAGTGTTGACTTAATTATTACTAGCAGCTATTACACTAGCTCAGAATATTTGTTTTTGTCAATAATTTCTCTCTATACCATGTAAACTGAGAAGAACATACCTGCATTATGTGGACTCTGGCTGCAGTATGGTAAAAAGATGGCAGAACCTTAAAGTAAATGAAAATGTTCTCAGAATTCATATGTAACAATGTTACCTCAGTTTTATCTGGTCCTTAAGTGATTTTTATGACTTTTTTTTTTCAACAGAGAGGTACCTTAAAACAAAATATGTAAATACCCAGAGCTAAAAAAAAAAGTTGTGGTGGTTAGTGGAATGGTATGAAAAACTTTGTGTTTAAAACATTAAGGTCAATGTTATTCAAATGAAAGTATATATATGTCTTTTTTTTTCTTTAGATACACAAGGTTGGGGAGTAAGTCCTCGAGGTGCAGGCTACCTGTTTGGAAGTGATGTTGTTAATCAGTTTAATGCTAATAACAACATTGATATGATCTGCAGGGCACATCAGTTAGTAATGGAAGGATACAAGTGGCACTTTAATGAAACTGTTCTGACTGTCTGGTCAGCACCTAATTATTGTTACAGGTACACTGCTTATACTTTGTTTGGTAGCCAGTGTTTTCATTTTTATTATACTTAGAACTTTTGTAGACTTTTATATGAATGTTGTTACAGAGTACTTAGAACCGTTACAAACTTTATTTGAATATTGTAACAGGTTACATACAACTGTTACAAACTTGTATCTGAATATTGGTAGAGATAGCACAAAATTTGACAATAGACAATTTATTATTATTTTTAATCCTGAATTCGTAACTTACCAAATCAAAATTCTTAAAGTATGGTGGTAAGTTTTCACATAATCAGAGTCAGTAGTATTAATTTTTAATTTTTTTGTATCATTTGCACTTGAATTTAAATAGTTCAAAACCAGCACAAAGAAGTGATTTTCATAAATTTCCAAAATGGTTGCCAAGGTTGAACTATTTTGACATGGTACAATTCCTATTTTCAGTCGAAACTTATCTATAAACCTAAATATTTCAGTACAAACAATAATCAGAGTGTTTAAATAAGAGCAGTAGCAGACAAAATACACAAGATGACATTTAAAAAATGTTTTAGAAAAGGGTACAATGGGTTAGCTTCATTAACATATGAATCATCATTTTCAGCATTCAAGACAACAGCAGTTTTTGCTTTTGCAAAATAAACAAAAGCAATTTTTTTTCTTTTCACTTCTATTTTTTCTTTGTATTCTTTTTCTGGAAACTCTCTGACCTCATTTTCCTTGATAATTTGTGTCCTACATACATTTTGTACATTTTAAAACAGGAAATAGTATAAAAAAAATAATCATCTTTTGGTCCGAAAATGGAAAATATTAGTGAGAGCATGTTGAATAACTTCCCAGTGAAAAAAAGGTCACCACATGATGGATTTGAAGCTCTAATTCACAGCTATCATTCTAGAATACCTTTAGATAATTTGAAAATTTTCTAGATGTTACATACTCTAAAATTATCATCAACCTGTCATGAAATTAAGGTTAATAATACTTAACTGTTAGTACAGGAACATCTTTGAACTTGACAAGCTACTTACTACTTTACACCAAAAAGAATCAGACTTATATGAAAGTTAGGTTTAAATCTTGAAAGAAAAAAAAAAGGATTGTTAAATTAAAACAATCACTCATCATTAGAATCCCTGCAGAAAATTTATGACTTAAAAATACTTTTAAATAAAACAAAATGTACTTGCAGTAATTAAAATTGTCAACAAAACAAAAGTGAAATAGAATTGATGTGATATAAAACTAATAATAAACTGATACATCAAAAAAAGAAATGAGGAAAAAATAAAACAAGAATAACAAAAATTAAATTGACTTTGGTTGGTTTATAGGAATTGTTGAAGACAGTTTTCTTTTTCTTTGGCAGTTTCTATATTTATTGTAGTGATTATTTTACATATTTATGCTGGATTAATTTCATGTCTACTTAGTTTTGCATTGTTTTATTAATAAACCCTTTTAGAGTTTAATTTTTTTAACCTGACAAGCCATGTTGTAATGCAACTACTACTATTTTTTTTTTCAGATTTAATGTGCATAGTTGATATAGCTTTAAAGTTTGAAATAAAACCTAATTTTTAGAGTGTAATTGAGAACTTCAGAAATATTGAGTAAGGTTTTTAAAGCACATAAAATAATTTGACTACTCTTTCTTTATCTCTACATATTAGGAACTTAATTTTTAATTCCTTTTTTCATTGGCACATTTCTGTGATACTGCTTTGATATGAAAACAGCACAAAACCAAATTTCTCTTTTAATGTATATACATACTTTTTTCATTCTCCTTCAGGTGTGGTAATGTTGCAGCAATCTTAGAATTAGATGAAAACCTTCAACGAGAATTTACAATATTTGAAGCAGCACCTCAGGTAATTAGAATGGTAATAAAAATAAGATAGTTTACCAAATAATCCAGAAATGATTTCATCATTTTTATGAATAATAATTAACATTAGTTACATAAAATATATCTATCATGTTTATATATTTATTAAGATGAATATATTTTTCTGAAATATCATGGTGATGGTATAGTCTGTGTATGTTTTTGTATATTAATATAAATGTATAAGACTAGGTAAATAATATGAAATTATAATAGATATTTAAATATTTATTTTAGAATTAAGGATACAAAAATTGTTTTTTTTTTAATATAAATAAGTATTTTATTTATATATCTTAAAATCGAATTCAAAGACACAAAATAAAGAAAACAACTGTCAAAAATTCAATTCAGCTATGAATGGTGTATAACTGTATACTAGCATTGAATATAGTCCATTTCTTTTATTATACACTAATGTGGGTAAGAATCTGCTGTACAACAACAGATAAACACACATGAAATTATTAGAAGGACTATATCATATTTTACCTCTACTTGCAAGCCTCACACGTAGGGTTCAAAATATACTAAGAACAAATATGGGTGCTCAAGCCCACAATGTCCTACGTCTGGAAGGTAGGTAATCATAATGAAACAGTATGATAAGAAGAAAATTAAAACAAGTACTACAACCAAACTTATCTCCCAAGCTTGGCATTTATGCCTCCATAATGGTCTAATGGTCATATCTATATAAACAATATAATAACTCCGTGTGGGTCCTACTTCTGTAGTTTTATTGTATTTTTATGTGTAACACCTTTTTAACCTTGCTGTTGAGATAATTGTGTATTTTTATTTTAAATCAACAGATGCATTGACTTATAAATTCACAGTAGATACAAGAGATTTAGTTCCAACCCAAAATAAAAGTATTCATTTGGCACTGCAAGAATTCTCTGGTATGTGTGGTACTGATGAACTTGTTTTTGAGAAAATAATAAGAAGATTCTTGTATGACAGTTTAATGATTTTTTTTAACTTTCTACTACCAGTATGTATTAAAGTCGTAATAATATTCTAACTTTTTTTGCAGGAAAGTCGAGGAATTCCCACAAAAAAACCACAACCTGACTATTTTCTTTAATTAAACTAAAAACATGGTGTAAGGTTTGGATCTTGACAGTGCTCATGATGGACTTTAAATCCTAGTATTAAGAAGTGGAAGAAATTTGCCAAATACAAAGTGTGTTGAAGCCTTACAGAACTTGTTTCATTAAGGTTACATTCAGATTCCCTTCTGTGAAGACTTGTACAAAATAGGACCAGTTAACTCGTTTTTCTGTGTGTGTGATGAAAGGGAGAAATTGCCAAAATGTTATGTACTGTATAGCAGTATTTTTATTGTGGTTAAGTCCTATTGTATTTTGATTTGTAAGAAACTCAATAATGTATTAAGTCTGACCATAGAACAATTGAATACTGTCATCAGACTTGGCATTTCAACTTTTATTTGTATAGTATAGAAATAAACTTTCATGTATTAACATGTGAGTGGATTTTATTTGGTTCAATTAAATAAAAAGTTTTTTTTATCAAATACATTACTAGTGTAAACTGGTAACTAAATCTGATTTGATCGGATTAATATAAAGGTTTTTATTACAAATGCTAGTTGGTAATACAATGTTTGGGTTAGGATGAAGAATAATATTTGTTATTTCTTTTTTGTACGATGACTTAACAATGGAAAAAGAAATATTGTCACAATTAACAATAATAAATGTATAACACAAAATCAGTGTTAAGAACAATTTCTGAAATCATGGAATACTGTGACAAACTTTCCCCCAAAAAAGTTTTAGTTTTAACTCAGTTTCAAACAAAGCCTAGATTTGAAGTAATTATTAAAAACATTTTCACTGTAAAATTCCAAAATTATATCTTACATAAACTCTAACCTGGATTATAACCATATCTAATGATTAAGTAGCTTATGTTACTGATAACTTGAAACACACATTTCTCTGTATTTTTTAATAATTAAGAAGTAAAAATATACGACTTATTTATTTAAATACATGTTAAAATATAGTTGAGAGTATCATTAATCCATTCCTATAAGACAAGGATTTTTGAAGAAAGTTTTCATTAATTAACTGGGGTGGTGTTCTTATGAAACATGTCAATCAGTAGAGAAAAAAGTTCGTAGCCATCTTGAAAAAGGAAGGGTGGTAAAAATTTTATCACTTAAATTGAATTGTTCAAGGAAAATTGTTTTCATAGGATGTAGTGATTCAGTATTAAATATTGCACTCCTGGAAAGAAACATACCCCAAATTTAAGGTATACTTATAAGGCGAGTCTCTCCTGAATGGTGTTTCGCAAGAGTCAGCTGTGTGATATGGCCAACTACAGTATGTTAACAAGTTTAGAAGTACAATTCTGATAAGGAAACTTGTTTAAAATAGAATGTGAACTGCAGTTACTTTCACATAACTGTCTCATAGAATTCTTAAGTGATCTTGTGCTATACAACTGAGGTTATTTAGATACAAAAATATACTGTTTCTTACATCTGAGAAAACTGAGCTGGACACATGACTAATTATTTTCCATTTCATTCCTGGATAAAAAATAAAATAAATAATACTGCTGCTTTCAGTAATAGAGTTTGGCTTCTCTTGTAATATTTCATCAAATTTTAAGTGATGATAAATATTCAAGGTATCATGATAAACTTTTATCTAAATGTAAGTTTGATTTACCATATTTCAGTAGCAGGTTAGTTTATCTATTAAGATGTAGTATTCTCTTTTCTTGTGTAATATTTTAGCTTTATGTTCTTAGACAAGTACATTACCCAGTGAATTTCTATATATGAACATATAAAGCAGTAACTTTAAAGGATGTGAACTTCATCAGTTCTGGTTTCAGTCATCTGATCAATAAAGAATCCTTTATCCAAAGAGAGATTTCATTCTCTGCAGAGCAGAGAATGCTGAAGTTTGTGTCAGTAACTGTCCCATCACACATGTTGTGTCAATGTAAATAGATATTAGACTGATTTCCTTTGTTCGGTTTTAGGTGTTCTTTAATTTGTGCTGAGAGGTGACATATGGAACCAGTATTTACCTGTTTACAACAGGTACATGTGAATTTGTAAATGACATATGATTGCCCTAGCATTGGAATTGTATCTCTCACCTTAAAGAAATCTTCTCTGTGTACTTGAAATTTAAATATTTGTGTATATGATGTTTTTAAAATGTTCAAATCTTTTTTTCTTTATTTTGAAATTTGAAGGACCTATAAAAGGTAACACAATAGCCAAAGGTGGTTTAGGTACATCAAATAATTTTACAAAGTACTTGTACATTATCTTGTTCATGAGTTTTTAAGAGAAACAATTCTTATGAAAGCTTTTGATGTTACTAAGTTCTAAACTGAATGCCAACTTAGTGCTTATTATTTTTAAGGCCCTGTGAATCAGCATAAACACTAAATTATTTTTGGAACAAAACTACTGTAGTTGAAACATAAACCTGAAAACGTTGGCTTTTGGTAACATGATAATGATAATGCTTTTCCCTTGTTAAAAACTTTATAGTTCAAAAAAAGGTAATGTAGCATCTGTTTCTTCTTCAACAGTGAACTTTATACTCTGATGTTTCTCATTCAAAAACTGATTATTTTTGGATGTCACATTTGTTTTTGAAAAATAAAGAAGAATTAATTATATACCTTTTATAAAGAAGTGGACTGAAATCATCAGGATCAGATGTCCACATAATTTCTCTTGGTAGCATAGGAAAACATTAGATAGGCATGGAGCTAATTTATATCCCAATGCTACACTATTGAGTTGGTTAAAAAAATTTTCCTTGAAAGAGAAATTGTGATTCTTTTGTTGCAAAATTAAGTAGGTCAAGGTATACTTCTTTAGTTAGACAATTTAAAATGTCACACTTTTCAAAAACTAAGTCACTACATAGATCATTCACTTCCTTTAATAGGATATTACTATATAGTGATCCAATATCAAAACTGGCACTATATACGTGTTCAAAGAGAGCTAGATTCCTGAGGTATTTGGTCATATCAAAACTATCTTTTGCTTAGTGGTAAATAATTTCACAAAATCCACCAAAAAATTTCCTAGTTTATTATTACGTGCCTGTGTTAGACACAATAGTAATTTTCAAACATAAACCTGCCAGTTTAGAATAACCTGGTGGTTAGGATGCTAAATTCACAATCTGCAGCTCATTCCATTGCCAAAAATAATTACTTTTTCAGCCAGTTGGTCATTATAATGTGGTAGTCAATCCCACTATTCATTAGTAAAAGAGTAGTCTAAGAGTTAGTGGTGGGTGGTGTTGACTAGCTGCCTTTCATTTTGTCTATCTCTGCAAAATTTGTTATGGCTAGTGTAGATACCCTTCGAGTTGCTTTGTGCAAAATTCAAAACCAGTTTAGAAAAAGAGCTAATCACACATTTTCTCTATAACAAATGATTGAGAACAGGATTCTAAGTATGTTTTTACTTTCATAATATATATGTAAAATTATACATTAAAGACACCTATGGGCATTTTTGTTGCACTGACATTTTTATTCTGGCGAGTTTTTGATTCCTTGAGCCATAAGTGACAGTTACAGGATCATGAGTTATTGGTATTTCATTATATTGAATGGACATCTTTGTACATTTTATTTCATTCAGTGATAAATTGCATCAACTACAACTTGGCCTCCTCTTTTATATATTTGCTTTAAAGGAACATCTCGAAAAATTGTGTGCTCCAATTTTACAAATTGTATGCCACATAGTAAAGACAATGAGACACTATTGCCTTGTAGTGGTTAACCTATTACTTGCCACAAGAATGAAAACTATTCCACAAATTTCTGTGATTTAAACTACTAAATATTTAAACAAAAAAATCTTCTTATCTTTAAACTCTACCCATTATAATTATTATTATTTTTTTATATTTCAGACACTTGTTTTATTATTTAGCTAATACAGAAACAATGCTGAGTTAAAAGTTCACCTATTATAATCACTTCTATTCAGTGATATGCTGGATTATATGAGCTGCTTCAATGATGACCGGTCGCTGTTGTTCCAGTTTCTGAGGAGGATCAAATTGTTGATTAATAACCAGAAGTGGATTGGTTTTTTCACTATCTTTATTGAGTCCCACAAAGTAATCACTCAGTTGTTTCTTTAAAAACTTGTTCTCGTTTTCATAATCTTGGCATTCCTTTTGCAGAGCTAAAGTCTCTAATAACACCTTGTTATGTTTTTTCCAAAAATTTTCAAGCATTGGATAGTCTGCAGCTTCTTCCTTTATTATATTTTTTGTTTGTTTGAATATGTCTACTTCAATCTCCTCTTCACTAGATGTATAAAATGGTAACACTTTTTCCTCTTCTGTTTCTAGTTTCCTACATCTCTCATATGACTTAAGGATGTTTTCTGCCTCAGATGAAATAATACTAAGTTTTTGTATTATTCCATCACTCTGAGTAACCATTTTCTTGAGTGCATATTTCTCCTTTTCTTGAATTTCCTTGATTTTGTCTTTCATCAAAGAAGCAGAATTTTGAAGTTCAATTTTTTCCTTTTTTAAAACATTGTCTTCTTGGCTGTCATCTTTAGCATACATAGAAATTTTAAACTTTAACTGTGAAATCTTATCTGAGATTGACTGTAATTTCCTTTTTTGTACATCTATCTGTCTTGCATTTTGTTCATCCTTTGCTTTTAGTTCTTCAAATGCTTTTCTCCGGCTTTCTGTGCTTTCAGTATATCCTTGCAATGCTTCTTGAAACTGCTGCCAGAGGCCTTCAATGTAGCCTTCTAAAACAACTTGTAATGTCTGCTTTTCTTCTACAATTTTATCCTTAAGATCATCCTTTTTACTTTGAAGCTCTGCTTTCCTTTCACCCTCAGCTTCTAAAAATTGTTGTTCCATAGCAAATGTTACATCAACCAAATTTGACATGTCTTTTTGCTGACAAATACATATTCTGTCTTCTGAAGAACCAAATTCTTCTCCAAGCTTTTTTTTCCGAGAGAGGTAATTACCATAACAATTTTGTACTCTTTCTCTTTCTATTTCTATCAATTTATCCAAATTCTGAAGATGGCCATTAACAATCCGATCGTGTTGAAGATCATGGTCCTGATGATCTTTCTGAAGTGATGCAATAACTGTTTCTTTTCTATCAAGCACACGTTGAAAGGTCTGTTTTAAAATTTCTAATTCTTTCTGAAGCTCTTTTGATTTCACATCTCGCAAAAGAGATCGCCATTGTTGGCTGATTTTAAGATAATTTAAATTTGAAACTTTCCTTTCTTTTGTAATTTTTTGCTGTATAAACTGTTCTACTAATTTCTCCTTGATGTTTTGATTTTCATCTTTCATGGGAGTTTTTCTATTCATTTTTATATTACGTTAAATATCAGCTTGCAATTATTTTATGATAAGTTTGTAATAATACATATTACTAGTATGTCTTGTGATTCACATACTATACTTAAATTATCGTTCTCACTATGAACGCTTGTATATGATTGTCTCCAAGATAACGCCGTTTTTTTCCTTATTATTTACCTTATTCTCTAACGCAGAAGTGAAAACTTAGTGACACTAAGATAAATACGGTAAAATCAAAATTAATCTCGAAAAATATTCTTACCAAAGACGTTGGTGTTCCGACTATTACATTCTGTTTATCGACGGTTACCATGGAAACCAGTACACCAATATTTAGAATTAAAACTATAGACATATGGAGATTCTTTATTTTCCAAAATAATAACTTACTTTATTGGTATAACGATGCAAAGTATTATTTGCAAAATATGCTTATTATTATAACTTATTACTTATAAAATTAATATATATATATATATAATTTAAAACAATATTGTGTTAGTTCAAAGAAGATAAATTACTTTAACAAAATATCATTTTACATCCTGATCAAACTTGGAGCACATAAGTTTAACTTATAGAATACAAAACTGTATTTTTTATCGATATAGAAAATGCGGACTACGTGTATCTAAACAAGCACACAAAATGGAAATATTCAACTTGCAATGCGACGAATTACGTCTGAGCAGGTAATCGAGTCGGGTATAAATTATAAATTAAGAAGGTAACGATGTAATCGCCAAGTACACCTGATTTAGCTTTCCTTATTTTCAGAAAATAAAAATGTTGCACTAAATGAATTTGCTATGTTTACATTTCACCGTTATTTTAACATTTTTTTTTTTTTGCAACGATTAGTTTCATGTACTTTGATCTTACTGGAAATTGAAATGGACATATTTTTATATGTGCAATGCTTATATTAAATGTCTTCATACTGCTACTGCTAGTTACAATATTTTAGAAGACATCCAGCAAGAGTTACATAGGCAATTGATTATTTTACTGCTTTTGGGGTCTTTAAAAACTGTATTACAGTATACAACCAGAAGATGCGTTAAGGGATGTTCTTTCTCAAATATGTGAAAATAAATATAATTTGTATATATGTATATTTACGTACATATATATTCAATTCTTAACTGATTACTTTATTTTAAGCACAAAGCTACACAATATGTTATCTGTGCTGTGTACATCGCGAGTATCGAAACTCGATTTTTAACGTTATAAGCCCACAAACCGCTGTACCACTGAGTATTTAATTCTCAACTACTTGAGTGTTTTGGTGATGTCAGCAAGACCAAAAGTATTCTTTTTGTAATAGAAAAAATATTTTTTTAAAGAATATATCATTGTATTAAAACTTTCACTAAAAACAATAATACAAAAAATCTCAATATTATTACAAAATACAAAATTAGTTATTAACATAATAAAATCATTTGGGGATAATACAGAATATAAACCAATTCCAGCAATTTTATCAATCACAATCAGTTCAATAAGGAACCAGTTAACTTCGCACTAGAAATAAACGACTTTATAACACCAAATTTATAATTATTTTTTAATTGGACACTCGACGTTTCGTTTTACAGCTTCTTCAGATCGTTCATTCCTACTATTAATATGTGTTTTATACACCAATATGCTCTACAGAACTTAAATAATGAGTTAACTTCGCAGTTTGGACACCTGAAATGATAAGTGTTCGACAAGCAAAACGTAAGAGTTTGTCTATTACAGCGTTCATGTAATACATTTTATTTTAGACCCTCTATAATCAGCTGATTTACATGAGCCAGTTAGGTTGCGTTTTACTGCGTTCGTCGGAGGTTAGGCAAACTAGAAGATAATACTAAAAAACGTCTTTTTAAAACATGACGTATGCAGGAAGCTCGTGTTGTTTTACGATGGTTTCGGTTCCTAGTTGTGTATTTACATATTGCTAACATTGTGGTTTTTTATATATTTTTTTTCGTTCTGAGTTAATATTTTTGTTACTGATAATGTTTTTATTGTGTGGCATTATTATTACAGCTATAATATATAGTTTTACTGGCTAACTATTGAGCTGATTAAACGTAAAGTTCTTCCTGAAAGTGAAACGTTAGCTTTTATCCTTAAGCGGAAGTCTTGTGCAAGTTGGGAGCTGCTTTTGGTAAGTTACGTGTACGAGGAAAGGTTATATTTTCGTAATAATATAAATTACTGTACAGTTCGTAGTCTGTAGTATTAGTAAGTTAATTTTAAATATGAAACTTATGTATGATTCATATGAAAATTATATCATGAACCACGATAGTCGTTCATAATATTGGGGATCGCAAGGAATTGCACAAAACTTTAAATTAATAGTAATAGAACGTTCGTGGGGGGGTGGGGGACCTTAGCCAGTAAAGATTCAGTTCAAACAACTCCGTAAAACCTTTCCTATTAACTGCTGAGGGTGTACACATTTAAAAATGCACAAAAAAGCTCGTGTATTAGACTTACAAGGAAATGAAAATACGCTCAAAACGACCCATTTGTAATTCTTAATAATATTCTCTTGCCAGCTAATAACCAAAACTGCTTGGTATATTGCACCCAAACCTTTTGTAGAATACTAAATTAGTAAGTAAAGTACTGCGAAGGTCATAGGGGTAATGAAAAGTCGATTTATTTCTTATTAGTTATATATTTTACATAAGCTAAAAAATCGTAATTCTAGTGTAAACGATGTTATCATTACCCTCTGAAGTTAGCTTTTTTACAAATATCTGGTGTTCCTTTAAAAGGGTGAAACAGGAATTACCAGCCAACATTGGATGAACATTAGATGACTGTAACATGTAGATACTCAGTGCTTTGTACATTATACAATTGGTGTCTTTAAGGAGCCAATCAATGTATTATGTATGAAGTGAAGGAGTTAAAAAATCAATACACATGATATAAAGTTTTATTAAAAACTATAAAAAAAGCCAGTCATCAAAATAAATAAAAATTGGGAATTTAGAAACCTGCAAACAGGGATTGTAAAAAAAAAGTAAGGAAACAAGGCTGGAGATATTGTAGACGTTATTTACTCAAACTACAAATCCATATTTTGGCTACACGAAATGTAATTCTAGGTAACAGCATAGTCAAAATAGGGGTTTCTAGTTTGAGTAAATAATGTCTATAGTATCTCCAGCCTTGTTTCCTTACTGTTTTTATGATCCCTATTTGCAGGTTTTTAAATTCCCAATTTTTTTCAGTTATCTTATTTATAATATAAAGTATGAAATATAAAAAGATACTTAAATAGAAGTAAAATATTAAAACAAAATAGAAATAATTATCAAACATACAGCCTACAACTTTTAGTATGAGAATATAGAGTATAAAAAGGTATTTGTTTTGACTTTCACAGATTGACCTAAAAATGTATGATGAATAGCAAGATTTGTGAATTATAATTTATAATAAACTGACTGTTATTGTTAGCATATTTTAATATGAACTGAAAAACTGACACAATAAGTGAACTATCTGATCAGAAAATTATTGTTAAAAACGTACATTGGTGTTTCTAATGTTATATTTCTTCTGCAGTTTATTAAGTTCTATCTTGTGAGAAAAAAAAAAGGCAAAACAATACACTTTAAGTTCATAAAATAGTCATTTTTGTAAGGGTTTACAAGTCTCCAAATAAAGGTTTGTGTATTAATTGTTGCATATAGAATAGATAAAGAAATGTGTAGGTTCAAATGCTATTGATAAAAATTAAAATGTAATTGTTTGGTTCAAAACATGGACATTTTAGATTATAAAAATAATAATATATATATACATATATATTGTTTTTCTGAAAATTAATAACAATTGAATTTAACTGACTTAAAGGGGGCACTTGCCCTCCTGGAAAATGAGAAACATAATTCATTCTTTATTCATTCAGCACATGTATATGAATTTACAAGTTTTTTATTCATTTCACAATTTCACACTACTTATTACACTTAATTTTCAATTCTAATAAAAGTTGCCAGGTTTGTCAGTAGCTTTACTTAAAGTCTCTAGATACCTATCCTGTACCTAAATATTTAAAAATGTCACTACCATGGTGGCTTCTTGGATATTAGACATGGAAATTCTCACTCAGGTCATCAAAGAAACCCACAAGGTCTTGCCGACATCCCCTGAGCCCTGTCACCGTGTGATTGGGGTTAGCCTGTTGCCACCTGCTGATAATACCTTCAGCAGGTTATCAAAGAGACTGATGCAGTCTTGCAGACATCGAATGAGATGGCATGGTCAGGGTCAACTGACTATTCTGTAGTACAGTGGTTCCCAACTTGGGGTATCCAGAACCCTGGGGTTTACGAAAGTAATACTGGGGGTTCATGAGCTGTTAGCAACATCAACCATCTCAATAAATGAGTAGGTCTTTTAATACTGCTGTTTTTTAATTGCAAACTCAGTTATATGTCTTTTATTTGATAGTGAAAAATGTGAAAAAATTTTAATTATTAGTTAATAAAAACAGTTTTTTGGGTAGACGGAATCTTTCAAAAACATGGGGAAAAAATAATAATAAAAGGGGTCCTTGGTGGTGGTGAAAGGGTTGCGAACCACTGATTTAGTACATATAGCTTCAAGTCTGCAGTATGGCTTAAATCAATCAAATCTGACTGTGGGAGCTTGTCTGTTCTCTTGACTGTAATGGCAAAACCTTTGTCCCTTGGTTTTGACTTTGCCCCCTCCCCTGGAAAAATTATTGCAGATGCCCATGAGAACAAATTGACATGAGGGCTATGGGAGTAAAGGTGTTGTTCTAGTAGTGGATAACTCTTTCAATCTCAGCAGATTATATGGGTATTTAGTGTTGTTCATTTACCAGCAACAGTAGTAAGTTAGTTGCACCATATCCTTTCTTTATAAGGTTACTTTTATCATCAGTACTGGTTATTATATTTATTATAACTAGTTTTACTTATTATTGCTGTAATGATTAGCCTAATTTATGGATTTAGGACTAACATACATTTACTAAGCTGGTCGAACCAAGTATAAATTTTAACATGGTGTAGTAGTTTTGACTTGGGCATTGGTCTAAACAAGTGATAATTTTACCATAGTATTAGTTAGAATACTTAATATATGAATATGTTTATTGATTAGTTTTCAATATTTCTGTTTTTATTTTTAATGTTTATCTTGCTGCAATGATTATTTTACATTGTATTAATATCAATTTTATCTGTACTTACAAAGATTATTTTACATTGTTAGCATTGTATATAACTTTAGGACTAACCTAAACCTCCTGGCTTGGCTGAACCTTGGGAGACATTGTTTGGTTTATAGCCAAAAATATGAACAGTGAGGGTACCCAAGTTAATATTAATCAGTATGCTTTTTGTGTTTGAAAAATGTGATTTATTTTGCAGACAGAAAACAATAATGCATTATTATATTACCCAGTGATACTACATGTAGGTTATAAACTCGAGATGAGTTTTATAACTACTATTATATTATATTTTTTGTAATGATTTTAGGGGGTCAAAGGTAAAAAACCCCAAAATGTCTATATTTTTAGTCTGGAACAATCAACTTAGAAGAGCAGACAAACATATGGTATTGGCATTTGACTTATTTCCATATTACGTAGTCCCTAAAACTTCTAAAATACTGGAGAAGTATTGGTGGGAGAGAAGGAGGTAATAGGATGAGTATGGCTATTTGGTTCAAAACTTCTGAAAAGTGGGAAGTTTAATAGTATAACATACAGACAACAAAGGACCACTTGGTCCTTCAAGACTGTTCTTTTGCTAACTCACTCTTGAAAAAATTATAAATTTAAACCTTTATTTCTCAGGAAATCATTAATTCCCTACTCTTAAAAGAAGCTGGCCTCCCCTACTATTAATGGCAACTCGTTCCATAAGCTAGTCACCCTGTTGGAAAAATTAAAATCTTAACTGGAGTCTAGCCTGTCCTTTATAAATCTTAAACGTGTTCTCTCATCCTATTATCTTTAAAATATAGCACAAGGAAATCAGAGGCATTTATCCTTTCGATCCACCAGATAATATTGTAAACTTCAATAAAATCACCTTTTAATTTCTTTTTAGGCACATTATGGTACTATATTAAGAGTAAAAAAATTTTTTTTTTTTGGTAAAGTGAGAAGTAAAATCTTTATTATTAGTTACAGCTGAATAGTTTTGATAACTAGTCTTTCCTTAGCCCTTACTGGTGTGATTTTTTAAACTAATTTTCTGTATTGCATCTAATTAAAATCTCTTTGAAAGTATAAGTACATCATATTTTGCACCTTCTTCAGATAAGTAAAATCTTTGAAAAAGAATTAAGGGATTAGTAAGGCAAGGTTTCCCCTTTAGTGAATCCATGTTAGCTTTCTCTTAAGATATAATACCTGATTCTGCAAAGTTTCTTATCTGACGTGAATTCTTACCATAACAGATGTAAGGCTAACTGGCCAATAATTTCCAAGGTAATTTATTACCCTCTGAAAAACAAGGAATAATTTTAGCAACTCGACTATCCTCAGGCACCTGCCCACTGTCTGTTGACCTACCAAAAATGAAAGAAAGAGGGGCTGTAATATCTAATCTTTGATTTCCTTTAAAACCCTTGAGAAAACTTTGTCTTATCCTAGTGCATTATCTATTGTTCATCTCTCATCCCTCTACTTACCACCAACGTACATCATATAAAAGATTTTGGCCTATTCCATGGTTTTCCATAGAATGCACAGGGTCAGAATTATTGCTAATTTCTTCTCTTATAAAAGTAAAAGAAAACACTTAAAAAGTTCAGTTATCTCGTAGTCTTGTACAAAAATTTTGCTATCAGCATGCAATAAAAACAGATAATGGCTCATTGCATACAACAACTAAAGGACCAACAGAGACTTTGCAAAACCATTTTTTACTTACAACAATTAAAGGATCAATAAAAACAGATAACGGTTCATTACTTACAACAATTAAAGGATCAATAAAAACAGATAACGGCTCATTACTGAACCTAATTTTAACATTTTGCTTACCTTTAATACTTAAAAAAAAATCCTTATTAGATTCATTAGTATCATGCAGTTGTTTTTTTACTTACTACAGTGAATTTATATAGGATTTGAAAAATATATAGCTATCAATTTATTTTATTTATTTATTCATCAGACAAGCAGTGTAATATATTTGAAATAATAAAAGCTGTATATCCTTCAAATCCTCTATAGATATAGTTTATATTTGGTGAGTACAAGACAATGAACACACCATACACGATATCCAGTTTAACTCCATGACAAGTGGTGAGTTAAATGATAGATTGGGCTTTATATTTATTATAAGTGAAGTGTTCCTCATAAGCCTTTTTTGATTTCATAATCCCCGCGTGTACCCAAATCCCTAGCTTTTCTATAATTCTGTAAATCTTCCATGCTGTCTGTCGATTTAACTTCTTAAACTTATAGCATATATCCCTAATTTTCTCCATTATGTCTTCAATAATCAATTAGGTTTGAATTTCCCTCTTTTCCTTTCTTATGAACATGTCTTATCTTCAGTTTAAATCAATTTATATATTTTTATTTGTGGACTCTGTTCCACATCAACTTTGAACTCATAGCACTTTTATCATGGCCCTACCTTTTGCATAATTTTCCGTATATTTCTGGAGTAAGTAAAAATTATTTATATGTATTAATTTTAGATTACAGTGATAATTAGATTTAAAAGTACTGATGGTGTTTGACTGGTGAAGCTATCTGATGGATTCTTATCATTCAAGTGCTTCTTGTACTGGTGTATGGTATGAAATGTCACTTCATACATATTGTTAATATTTAGGTAGAAGCACAAAGAACATTGGGGTTAGAAAGAATATGACAGGAAATTCCAAATTATGGCCTGTGGTATGCAAGATTTGTGGTCAAGGGATCAGGTTCTTCTGGTTAATTGGTGGTTGTAAAGGTTTGTAGGAATCACAAAAATATCAAACTCAGTAAATTTATTCCAAATCTATCTAGTATATGCAATAAATCATGAAGTCTACATCATTAAGAAAAATGTGGAAGCTTTCAACAAATATTAAACTGAATTTTATTTTATTACCATGGGAATAAGAAAAATGTGAAAAACAAATTATATATATATATATATATATACATACACACACACATACACATGTCCAATATATGTATAAATAAGTCATGAAATCCAAATGAATAAGAAAATTATGAAAGCTTTTAACAAATATCAGCATGATTTTTACTTTATAACTTAACAGACTGATAACAGTTCAGTCTGTGTATATGAATATTTACATTATTTATTAGCCAGGTGTTCTCTGCTATCAGAGCATACACAATGACAACCAAATGACAAACAGCTGACAGCCTCGAAAGCAAAGATAATCATTCATTTTGGCTCGATTTGGGTACATTACTCAACATCTATATATTTTGAACAAAATTAAGCTATATCTGTTTTCTAGCTACTCTCTTAGTTTTATGCTGCTATATCACCTTTTGCAATTGAAATCATTGAGCTAATATAACCACACTTAAACACAATTTTTTTTATATCAGATAAAACCATTACCTCCCAAGTCCTTTCCCAGAGGATTTGGAGATAATACAGAAACTATTCTTAGATTTTTTATATAAATTTCATTTCTGTTGTTTTTTTGTTTTTTTTTAGTTCTTTGAAAATATCTATCATGATAAAATAAAATAAGTATGCATATTAGAAATTATCAATGTGTTACCATATCTTGAGGAATTGTAGTGATGTTGCATAGGAGCAAAAAATGCAGTAAAATTAATCAAAATCAGAAATATTGGTTATTTACATAATAAAAAAGAATGAAAATGTTTAATTTCTGTATTTCTCCAGGTAGAGCCAAAAATTAAATTATGATCATACATGTACAGTGAATTGGTCTCCTGGAATGATTGTCTAATACATAAACTGGAAGTCATAAAGTTTTTGTTTTTTACTAAATATAACCAAATTAATGTCAAACTATTTATTCTTTTCTTTAAAACATGTTTTTATTTTTGTTTATTTCTCATTAGAATTTTGAGTTGGTGAACAAAGTTGTAAAGCCTAAAATTCTGAAGAATGTCAAGACGAATAGAACCTTCCCACAGGTTTAGAAGAGCTAATCTTCTTCATATACCTGAATCTGATCTGTTATGTAAGAATGGTTGTGGTTTCTATGGTAACCCAGCTTGGCAGGGATATTGTTCCAAATGTCATAAGGAGCTTTATCAAAAACCTAATCACTCAGGTGTTTCAGAACAGAAAACCAAAATTTCCAGAAGGTTAGATTTTAATAGTAAACCTGTTTTCATTTACATTAAGTATCAGATATTGTTTTTATATAATATCTCTATAACCTTATTAGTTATTGCATCTTCTAAAACTTATAGTTTGTGGACATTACCTGTTTTATTATGTCATAGTTACAGGGTGTATTTTGAGTTCAGTGTTAGATTTGATGCTCTCATGTAATGCCATTTACATTATTTCTTTTAAAGTAATTAATTTTTCTAATGAATAAAAATTCTTGTTAAAAAACTGTGTAAAATTTTTGTATATTATCCAAATTTTTATTTTTAATGTATATTAATCAAGTTTACAAGTATTGCATTACTTTGTTGCATTGTAGGGAGAGTATTTCTTTCATCAAGATAAAGTTGCAGATCTTAACCTGTTTTTTTGTACAAAAATTATTTAAGAGGTAGAATTTGGATTACAGTAATCTCTAGAATAAGATGTTTCTTTTTACTTCCATTGCATCTAAAGGAAGACTTGTCTAAAAATCACAGTATTTTACCAAAAATCCAGGTCCTTATCTCAGAACAGTGGAGAACAACCAGAAAGCTCTTTTCATGCTTTTGCAAAGTTTGAGAAAAAGAAAAGACATCACTCTGAAAAAAGAGCAAAGACTATAAAAAGCATTATCAAAAGAACCAACACATTTAAAGGTAAATGTAAAACTAAGTTATTTTTGACTTTTAGTATTAAATAGGAAGATATACAGTCTTTTCAAATGTAATGCATTTGTGTTTAAAAACTATGTTCAGTTCTTACTGGTTAAAATTGTGATTGACATTTTTTCTAGCAGTTTTATTTTTACTAGGTAAAAGACACAAATATATAGTAGCTAAAAGAATTGGTAAACATTTAAAAAATTTAACATTCACAAAATACTTTTTTTACACATTTTTTTGATTGTTAAGTATTTTTGAATAATCACTTTCCTTTGGAATGATGGCAAGAAATAAAACATCCGTTTAATTGGTTTTGAGTAATTTAACTAATTTCTTTGAATAATATCACTCTTTTCAAACTATTTAGAATTTAGTTTTTGTATATTATTGCTAAATGATTGTGTAATCGTCCGTAAAACAAAACTATTATCTTCATTACTTCTACAGAAACAACAGCATACTCAGAATGGAAGGAGCAACGTCAGATGAGTTTTGAGAGTAAACAGGTTGACAAAGATTTTTTAGAGTTTCTGGCGACACTTCCAGAACCTGCAGCTCATGATGTCAAAAAACACTCACATGTCCTGATAGAACGGATTCAAAAGTATTCAGATTGGACTATAAGTGAAGTATCAGAACTAATTCAGGACTTTTATCAGGCAATAAGAGAACGATTTGAAGTGCATACAATTTTTGAAGGTACCTCAATTCTTTTTAAGTTTATACTCACTGTGATTTAAAAAAAAAAATTCCAAATTAATAATAATAATAATAGATTTTGAAACATCAAGAGGTGTTTTTACCCATCAAGGATCTTTTTTTACTCTCACAGAAAACTAGTTACTAAACCCAGCCCTGTGCCCAAAATATTCATTAGCTATTTTTGGAAACTCTTGAAAAGTTGCAGCTTCCACTATTGGCAGATTGTTTCACAGACATACACCCTTTTTGGGAAATAAAACTACATAACTTGGAAATGTATGGTCTTTATAAATCTTAAATTTGTGACCTTATATTCCATTGCCCTCAAAGTTCAGTAGGAAACAAATGTGTACATCAGTATTATCAATTTTCTTAATAGTTTTGAAAATTTCAGTTGGATAACCTCTGACCCTTCTGTCTTTCAAGAGAGAGAAAGCATTAAGGAACCTCAAACAAATTTTTGTTAAATTTTTAAATTTGTTGTTTTAGCTTTATACTTCCATTTCACAGTTTGCTAATAGCCTAATGAACTAACATTATAATGTTATAATAGGATTCTAATATATTCATGAAATTAATTTGTGAAATGTTAAATATATTGCTGTGCATATTAAGACATTCAGTGTACATAATGTTATAATATGCTATTCATACACTGTATATTAGCTGCAGCTTACACTAGAAACAAAGTAGTAAAATGCTAATCAAGTTTCTGTATTAAACATAAGGTATATCATGTGTGTTTCCATGTAATCCTGCAATAAATCTGGTTACTTAGCTAAAGAGAACTATTCTCTCTGTCAACTTGAACATCTTGAAGTTATGATACTGGTAAACAGTTATAGTGAAATTTTTCTACTTTATGGACTCCAATCAAAAAGACTTGTTGTTTCCTTTTTAATTCCTCAATACGGGCTTGGTCCCATGGAACGACCACATGACTGTTTATACTTGTATATAGTTTTCATACTATAACTTTTAATAAAGTATGTGTATTTCACATTTGGCAGACTTTCAGTAAATGTTACAAGTCGTTTGTACACAAAAAATCTGTTTTTTAATGAAGTATTTTTACTAACAACTTGTCTGTGAATATATCAAATCTTTTTTAACTAGTCCAAGAGCAAAGTGATTTTTATGTTACGATTAAAAATACTTTACTTTGTCTCCTAAGTAAATAGAAAACTTTTATCATAAAACTTGACATCTTATCTGTTATTATGTTTACCCTAATAATATATTTTATTCACGACATGATAAAAACCATATAACCTGAGTGCTTTTGAAAGGTGGATCTTTCTTCTTCAAGGGCAAACTTGGAATGGTGGTGTAATTTAATAAGTGATACATAAAGGAAGTTGAGTAATGTCATGAAGGTCATCTGATCTTCTAAGAAATTTTTAGTATATTTTTCCATGTACTGTTGTGTGTCTCATTTCCAGCACAACGTAAAAAGGTGTTGCTGATTTTTACTTTAGAAATGGTTAAAAAAAAGAAATAAATAAACTATACTTAAGTATTTAGGTAAAATAAAGGTGACACCTGGAGACTGATTGAAAAAGAAACAAGTGAGTAAAATTATCTTAAATAAATAGCAAGTTTTATAAAAATTAAAGTTCACACTATATGAAAGAAATGTGCAAAGAATAAAAATTATTTTTCTGAAAGAGATGAAACCAACGATTGGAGATCAGTGATTCCAGGATCTAGATTGATTCAAAAAAGGTTGAACAGTGTTTAGATTAGCAATCCAATAAGCTTTAGTTTTGAATTTTGTTTCAGTGCTGATGAGACTAACATCATTAACAAAATGACCATGTTGGTTAAAGTGTTGAGTTACAGAGAGATCTTTTTCAGTATTAATAGAAGATTTATGTTTGTTGAAACATTTTCTAAGAGTTGTTTGTGTATGTCCAACATATTGGTGATTACATTTTTTACACTGTGTAAGGTAAATGGTGTTTTATGTTCCACAAGTGATTTCTTTGGAAATTTTAAAGTTTCTTTGGTTGTGCTTGTCAGAAAATGAGTCAGTAGTTTTTTATGAACTTGCAGGTTTAACAATGAGCTTTATTGCATGGATAACAACCATTTTTTGGTGGGATGTAATTCACTTTTGTGTGAACAAGGATATCTTTTAGAGTTCTGCTCTTTCGGAAAGAGACAACTAGAACTTCAAGAAATATCTGTTTAAGGCAATCATTAAGTTGTAGGAGATGAAAATGTTTTTTTAGAATTTGTGAAACATTTCTGAGTTAAAAGTGATAGGTAATAATAAGAGGAATTCTATTTGAAACGGTAGTATTGTTCTGTTGTAGGATGTTTTTCTGCTGAGTGTTGTTAGCCTTTTTGATCTGTCTGTTGATTTAGGTATCTTTATATCCTCTTTCAGATCCTTGGTGTGTTTTCTTTAGTCTATTTCATTTGAGCATATATTCTTTATTCTAAGAGCTTGACTGTAGTTAGTGTTCTATCTAGTGTGAGCAGGATGACAGCTTTTATACTGAAGGTATTATGGTCTGTCTGTGGGTGTTTTGTACAAGTCAGTGTGTTAAATTCTGTCTTTTAGAAAAACAGTGATGTGAAGTTAATCTGGGTAGGCAAGTAATCAAAGGTAAACTTGATTGTTTTGTGAAAGGAGTTTGCATATGAGATAAATTATTTTAAGTGATTCAAGATCGGCTGTCCTACTTTAGAATATCTAGTCCTTCATCATGTGAAATACTAGTGTAGAGGGAAGAAACATCCATTGTGCAAAAAAGACTGTTAAGTGGTAACTGTCTGTTAGAATTAATTTCTTCTATGATATTAAGAAAGTGAGTAGTATCATTTATGTTAGAAGGGAGGGTACAGGGAAACAGTTTATGTGTTGGTCAACAAAAGCAGACAACCAGGATTGTTTGTGTATTTTAGGAAAGAGATAAAATCTACCAGGCAAAGCTTGTCTGGGTATAAAATGCTAAAAAATATCTTTGTTAATTTTATTGTTTTGGAGAAGTTCTTTAAGTTTATCAGTTATGGTCTTAAAAAAGTGAGTTGTAGGATCATGTGAGAGTTTCTTGTAGAAATTAGTGTCCTCTAGTTGCTTGTTAGCTTCCGTGATATTGGCATCTTTGTTAAGAATAACAATAGCCCCACCCTTGTCTGCTGGCTTTATTATAATATTGTTGTTTAATTTAAGATTGTTTAGAGCAGTTTTTTCATTTTGGTTAATATTATTATGACATTGCTTGGAAGATTTTGAGGTTTGTATTATGTCATTCTCTACTATTTTAGTATAACTCCCTAAATGTGGTTCTCTGTTTGGTAGAGGTGTCCATAAAGACTTTTCTTTGAAGTTTGGTATATGTTGATTTCAATAGGGTGTGGTTTGTTATGAAAAAATTTGCAAAGTCTTAGTTTTCTAGAGAATTCATGCAGGTCAGAAAGAAGTTCGGGCTCATTAACATACCTGTTATTTGAGACCTTTACTAAGGAGACTGAGTTCTGCTTCAGAGAGAGTTGTATCTGAAAGATTAACAATGCTAGAGATATGTGGGGAATGTTTATTGTTACCTGTATAATTTATGAGGTCACTTCTATTTTCAACAGACTTGTTACTTTGAGAAGGCTTATGCATATTAGAGGATGAAGTGTTTTTAAACATTTTTAAGCTGTTCATTGTGAGATAAAGAGATTTTGATAGTTTCTGGTAGATTGCTCATTGCTATAGTAGTTTCTATATAATGAAGAGGATTCAAAAGAATACTGTTAGAAGTGCTTTTTGAATTGGTGTTTACTGGTAGAAGACTGATTTTTGTTATTCTTTTTAAGAAGGAATGGATCAGTTCTCTTTGTAAATTTTGTAGTACTACTGATACAGTATTACTCACAAGATTAGCTATTCTTCTTCATTGCTGCCCCCTCTATATATGAACTTTTCTTTACATATGCCACAAGCCTTTTGCTCTTCCCCTGGTGGAATTACTATATTTTAACATGTTTTTCATGTAAATCATCATGTGTCATCTCTTAATCAATAGTAGCATGATATGGTTACATGATGCATGTGACGTCCTCTACACTACATTCACTTCGAAGTTTGGCTGAAGATGTGAGCACTGGAGAATGGAGAGGAAGAGTGGGAAGTGTGAAAGAAGGTAAGTATCTATCAGAAATACATTTTCAGTGTAGGAAAATTATAACTTCCGATACAGTACTTACCTCCTCTCAAAAGATCAGCTAGAATCCCACATTGAGAAGGAGGTGGACCGGTGCGAGGGAACGAAAGAAGTACCCCCAAAAGAGTTTGAAGGATACCCCTTATAATGGGAGATATAGAACCGAAGACCAGAAAAGGGGAACCACACCACTTCTGAGCCAGTTATATTCTGTGCCCATGTGTGGAATGTGTAAGACATAAGGGTGGAAATTGAAAGATGTAGAGTGGCTAGGGTGCGGCAGACCGTACTTGGTATGTCAACCACATCCAAAACCTCCTCACGTGGTACCAACATCAATGCGAGGTTAGAATGAGGACCATACTATCTTCACCTCAAATCCAAGAATGGGGGATTAAGACCTGCACTGATTTCTGGGTATGATACGAGGATCATCTCTGATCTGTTGATTCGGGAATTGACATCCGGTATTGAAAGGATGTCTATCGCATGGAATCAGCTCCCCCCAACCGTGTTACAGGCCTGCACTGTCTAAAGGCAATAATATCCCCATAAGAAGAGAATGAGGGATAGTCAAGGACAGAACCATAACAGTCCCACGTACCACTTCTGTGACCCAAGACACAGGCAGAGTAATTGGGAGAGGAAGATAGACAACTTGAACTTGTGTGAGGACTTGTAGTGATTGGTTCACTCTAATCCAAAACCTCTTTGCAGAGTACCGACATCCACTTGATGGTAGGATGAGATCTCCCAATTGAAGAAGTAAATTGCAATTTTGACAGTTCAATTCCAGTGTTTATGTAAATGGTATCAGGAGGCCACATCATCTAGCAA